ATATAAAGATGAACAAAGGCACCTGAGTGGCTGAGTGGTTGAATCTGAGTTTGGATTATGGAATACCGAAGAATGAAGGAGTCAACTTCTTTTTTCAATAAATTGTAGTATGCCATTTAAAAAAGTTGAAACACAATTAGTAAGCAAATAAGTCAATCATGTATTATGTTATTATGTATATAAGTTATACCAAATTTGCTAAATACCAATTAATATATGTTAAATATCAATTCCCCCAACAAGTCCCAAACAAGGTTGAGCTTGAATCAACCCAAATGACCATATTTTTTGCAGGGCAGGTGATGGTGGTTGATGATGATATCATCACAATTGACAAATGACAAGGCTATGGAAATATTTATGATGTTGGCTGGAAGTGAGAAAGGAAAGGATTGGATTCCCAAAACAGAACCTTCGAATTTGGTTGCATCAACACAGATAATAACTAATAAGGATGGAGAAGCAATAGTGCTATTGTCCAGATGTTGTACCATTATCTTAGAAGAAGGGAAAACAATATCTTACAATCTAAATAACATATCATACACCTGAAATAATAGGATAACTAATGGGGAAAATAGTAATACAGTATCTTAAAATTTATCTTAGATATATGTTATATCTTCCCTAAACTGCTAAATAATGATCTAACTAATGCTTGTGGCAAATAAAAAGAAATTGTGCACATAAATAGATATATTTTTGTTGTTGTCCTAAACCCACCGAGTGAATGATGATGAACTTTAACAACAATTGAAATAAATCTTGAATCTTGAACTCGAAATCAGAACAGAACTGAGAAGCAGTGAACCCAAAATCATAACAATTAACATAACACATTACACATATAAGCTAGAATTGATTGAGAAACATGAATGGAAAGTGAAAGCTTGAATTTAACTCATTCGAATTTTGAAATTAACCTTGAGAAGTCGACGGCGACGCATCGAAAACTTCACCCTTAAATCGCCCGTTGAACCGCTTGTCGAGTTACCGTTGGATTGTTGGAATCGATTCAATTGCATCATTGCATGTAGATGAATCGTCGGCAGTCGGCTCGTCAAACTCGCTCACTCGCTCTTGTTGCTCTCGCTCAAGAAGTTTGCCGCTCAAGAACTCACTCTCGTTGTTCTCACTCTCATAATGAGTTGGACACTTGGAATTGAGTCTTTCTATTTGTTTTATTAAATTTTGGGCCTTTCTATCTTGTATATTTGGGCTTAATCCTTTTAAATTAATATTTCTAAACCTAATATATATATAAATTGGGCCCCTAAACTTTTTGGGCCCTAGGTGCCCAACCCACCCTCCCCAGGGACGGCCCTGTTTATGTCACCACGTCTCGGGGAACTATTTCTCAAAGCAAATTTTCATACCAGAACATACTTATGTCACCACGTCTGGAAGAAATATTTCAAAAAGGTATTTCTTTCAAAACATACTTACATCACACATGTCTTGAAAGAAAACATCAATATCTTTTCTTGATTTACAAATCTTATACAAAAATACCCTTTTCATAGTATAAAACAATTTAAAATTGTTTAAACATCAATTGTGAGATACTATTATTGAAATAATCCAAGTTTTAGGCAATTTCCCTTCATCGGTTAACCTTATATGGACAACACTGTCCGAGAAAGCCTATTCATAAAACATTTATCTGGACAACATTTGGTAATGAACAATATAAACACCGGTTACACCTTGTCCGGATACCCTCTCATCGGACACTCTTATCCGGACAACACTTAACCCTTCAAACATTAAATTCATACAACATAATGACTGATGAGTAAATAATATGACCAACATTATGTCCGGTAAGGTGTCCTTATCGGACAAAGCTATGTCCGATAAGAGACCTTATCGGACAAAGCTATGTCCGATAAGAGACCTTATCAGACAAAGCTATGTCCGATAAGAGACCTTATCAGTCAACACTCTACAATCACCAACCTTTTCAATGGCCAAGATTTAGCCGGTGAGAAGCCCTCAGCGGACACCATTATGTCCGAGTACAAGTCTTTATCGGACAATCAAGATCATCAAGAACATAAATCCAAATCATAACACAGCAGATTCTTAAGCCATTAAACCAATAATAATAATAAAACATAATGGATTCGGGCTGTTGTATATAATAAGACTCTCCTTACAAGCAAAGAGTTTTAAAGAAGAAAATAGCAGATAAAATCAGCTTCTACTTGATCCCCAACTTCAGTTTCTAAAATTGACAAGAAATTCTCTCTATGTTTTTTATTCCAAAAATGGCAAAAAAGCTTTGCTTTCCACAACCACCCCATTTATACCCTTCCTTAAAGAGGAAGGCGGTGCATGTGAATATGCATATTACTCCACATGCCTAATCACCCATGCATGCATATTGAAAAGCCATGCATATATTTCTTATGCATACATACACATATATACACATGCATATTTCATGTTTCATATACCCATACACTTTCATGCATACATATAAAACATGCACACACATATGCATATTTTCTCACCACTACTTTATGCATGAAAATATACACACACTCACATATTAATTTCATGTAAGCATGTATCCACATGATCAAATTACAGCAATTGATTAGATATTCACGTGATCACATAATCAGGTAATCACATAACAATTACCTCAGGTGCATAACTGAACCCGGTTATCACATTTACATTGTTTGAGTATCGTGTTGGATTGCATTTTCTACTTGTTGGTACATTTGAACACATTTAGGGTTCTCATACTCCGTATTGATTGTTGGTTTGCATCTCTGCAGATTTTGGCAATTGGTTTGGGACTTTTGTGCATTGTTTTGTATAAATTATCCCCCAACACTTATACTATAATTTTTAAAAGATAACGGTCTCTGATACCATTGCAATATGGAAAAGAGTATGCTTGAGGGATTATATATCAGGATATTCATCTACAAAATGTTAGAAATTCGATTATAATCGATCAACATTACTGCCTTATTATTTTCGATTGTAGCAAGAAGGTCAAGTGTACTAGGATCCAAACCAATCGAGTTAGCATCACTAGCGAAGACGTTGTTGCTTATTATAATAATGCTCAAGGAAATTTTATTGCTATCATCCCTTCATATTACTTGCAATTAGTTTGTGCTTTTCCCCCCTCCATTGGAGATTGATAATATTTATGACTTCTTTTATGGATTATTGATATAATAAAGCTACACAAACACAATTACAGTAATTCCAACCTCAGTAAAAAATTTACAAACATTAAAACTACTATACTGCTAAAGTTGAATGAAAACCAATAGGCACGATTGTATTCAAGATAAAAACGTATCAAAATACATCGGATTTTAGATTCACTATGCAAATAAGTTAAACAGAGGTACAATAAACTTGGAACATATGATACTTAAAGAATAACATAGATGTTGTGCTAGTGCCTTGAAAGCAAATTTCAACATGATCGATGCAATCCTAAACACATACCAGTAAATCTTTAAACATGTGCTCTCATAATTGAAGGTACGAAACTTGTAGAATTTAGTACCAAGAACGAAATAAAATTGGTGAACTACGAAAGTATGGTTTAGGATTATAGTACGATATTTATAAAAAAGTTGGTATCATAAATCCGTTAAAAATAATAGTAGATACAAATCGATGCCAGAATGACCTGCATTAGTTTATCCTAACATTGGATTTCATGGTCGCTACTACAAACAACTTGGTATATAACAATTTCGTTGACAAATTCGAGTAACCAGTCTATACTTATTTTTTTACTAGTTTGAATTTTTAACACCACCAGTGATTTACAAATTTCTCTCGGCACAACACATTGCTAAACACAAATATGTTATTATAGAAGTTCATAAGTATCTAAGAGAATCCATTTCAGATCCAGTGTAACTACTTAGATCATTAAAATGATCAAAAACTTATAATTATAATCAACGACAAACAACCATCTCGGTTGGTTGTTGTTCCACTTTTCATATTCTAAACTTTAATTGCTTTAGATCGAAGATTCACAATAGGCTCTATTAAGTACTAATAATTGGTGATTGAACTTGGGCGTTGAACACCTGAACTCTTCACAGATAGGGGTGGAAATCATCGCGAGCGATTTTTTTTATCTTTGTGAAATGATTGAAAACGAGTATTCTTGATATATCGAATTTAAAATTTGTTGATAACTGAAACTTAAACGATTGTTATTCATTGTCTGATGTAATTATATCCATAGTCAAATGTTACAGTTTCCATAAAATTTCACTTTCAAAGAACGCACATGACACATAAGTACTTAGGAAAAGCTTTGAACCTGAATTCCCTAACACGTACGTGTTAACACCAAACACGAAAGTCGTGTTTAGAGGTTTAAAGAAGTGGATTGCAACGTTTTTTTAACCTTTTGATTTGGAGTCACATGACCGTTTGAACTTTCGTCTAAGGGGTCGTTTACCCAATTGCTTACCCGATAAACGCTTGTCGATACGAGTCAACACTATGATTTATTTTGATGCGTAAGATTTTAGTATATTAAACATATTGAATGCAACAATTTAGTGGGTAAGCGCTTATCTGGGTAAGAGTCGTCTTCCTCACTTACCGGGTAAGACTCTCCATCATTCTCATCGCTCTTACCCGGTAAAATTCTTGACCCTTCTCATGTTCATCCGATGAGAAAATTTATCCGATAAGTACTTACCAAATAAGTGTTTAGTTAACGGCCCATAACTATGAGGAAAATTAAGAATTTTCTTGACTGTTCTTAAACATCATCCGGGATCAGTTGAGGTGTGCACAAGTTGATCCGGATATCCACGGAAAAAAAAAATCAAAAAACGTTTGTAAGTAAATGCCAAATCAAACATTACAATTTTGTTTTTAAATGAGACAAATAATTGAAAACATGACAAGGAGTGGTTTTGGAATGCTTTGAAAGATGAGGGGGTCATATGTCATTTTTGAAAAATGATGTTGTTTTGCATCGATATCTTCACACGCAGGAGACGGAGAAAAGCTAGAGAGAGAGAGAGAGAGACAGGCAGACAGAGAGGAAGGACGTGAGAGATAGAGAGATGACTGAGATCTCACATCGGAGATCGCTACGGTTCTTATTGTTACTGTCCTTAATTTCTGTACAATTTCTCTTAGGTTCGTTGCTCTTATCGATTTGATTCTTTTTAATTTCTACAGTTTTTTAATCGCCTTAAGTTATGTAAATTATATGTTCTATGATGTTATTTTTATGTTAATGTCAGTTAATCGGTGGCTATTCGTATTTTTAGATGTTTTTAGGGATGTTTTTGACGGCCTAAAGATCGATTTGCTATTATGCGTTGTTTCTTGTTCTAAATTATGATGATACGTGTTCTAGGGTTTATTTTGATGTATACATGTCTTTCTGTATGTCTATCTTCTGTGTTGCCATGATGCATCAGGTGTGGTATTTTTCTTTAGATTAGGAAGAAATAAAAACAGGAAGTGTTTGTGTTAGGAAAAAAGGAAACCAAAACGAAAGAGGAATCAATTAAGCTTGCTTGCACAGCCTATTCCGTATAGTGATCCATTCTGTATTGCTAGGTAAAGAATGTAGTAACAATAGATTTGGAGAAGACTATGAATTGATTATTGATCCCTAAGTTCTTGATCTGTTTGGACCAACTAAGGAACAATTTTTTCTTTTCCTCAAGTAGTCCTGTGGTTTTCTGGTCTTACAAGTTGAGTTTCTGTACTCATAAGGGTTTTTTGTCAATACTTATATTCTGCTCTTCTGAGAAAGTATTTGGGTGGCAAGTATTTGTGGCGCATAAGAAAGAACTTTGGAGGTAGTTGTGCAGCAACAGAAGTATTAAAGAGGATACGCTAAAGAACATCCAAGTGAAACTAAATAAGAGATGCTTAGTTCATTTTGATGTCTCTATAATTCTTTTTGTCCCTCTTTATATTCATTCTTTTATCTCAGTTTGTCCCTCTTTAAGTACTTTAATAATTTTGTATCTTTTATTTTCAGCCTTCTTTTATGTTAATTTCTTTCAGGCTTTTCTGATGATTCAAAGTCCAAAAATGAGACGAAAACTGATGCTCATTCTTCTTCAAGTAGCATGAGTGGATCTATAGTGGTCATATTATGCATTGCGGTTGCAGCAGTTGTGGGCTTGTCATTTTTCCTTTTCAGGTTATGGCAAAAGAAGAAACGAGAAGAGCAGTATGCTCGTCTATTGAAGCTGTTTGAAGAAGATGATGAGCTTGAGCTTGAACTTGGTCTTCGTGACTGAGCTGGTTGATATGATGGAGGTAGATTCCTTACTGATATTCTTTTGCAAATTTCTAGCAGAGTTTTCCCATTTTTGGCAGTGAGTTGTTATTTTTAGCTGGCATTATGATGAATGGTGTTTAATACCTCACTTTGTAGACAATTTTGTGAATAGGGGTGTAAATGATACTAGACAACTCGCGAGCTACTCGAGACCGACTTGATCAAAACTCGGTCAACACTCGACTCGAATAGGCTCGGCTCAAACTCGAACTCGACTCAACATATTAATGAGTCGAGCTACCCAATACTTGACTCGAAAAGCTCGTGAGATACTCGATTTTTTATATATAATTGGTTTTAAAAATATAATCAGGTTTATAATATAATATGTATAATATATTGTAATAAAAATGTCTTATATTTTTAGATATTTGAACAATATTGTGCATTTTTAACTATAAAAACTATATCAATATTTTTTTTATTAAAATCATAATTAAAAAACACAAAAAAAAACTATAGAATTGTTGGTGAAGTTGTCTGACGTTAAAAGAGAGATAGTGAAGGAAGGATGAAGAGTTGTTATAAAAAGAGAGGGAGGTGAATGTAGTTTGTAACTTTGTCTTTTTGATGATGAAGTTTGGGGTGCATCCCTTTAGTTTTTTTAAAATTTAAGAGAACACCTTTAAGTTTTATAATTTATAAGAGAAGACCCTAAAATTTCATAAAATTTCATAAAATTTCGATGAGTGAGCTTGATTCGAGTAGGAGTTCGAGTTCGAGCTCGAGTTTAGTTGTTAACTACTCGTGAGTTTTCGAGTCGTGTTCGATCTTGAGAAATGGCTATCGAGTTCGAGTCGAGAATATTGATACTCGAGTTCGACTTGCATCATTTACACCCCTACTTGTGAATATGGTGCACACTTTACACTTGTTTACATTTCTCATCTATTAGTAAGACCTGAGGAGTTGTTTGCTTAGAGCTTAATGGTATAGGTTGCTTATTCACTTGGCCATAGATGGTCGTTGTTTGTGGTAGAGTGGTGCACAAAAACCCGAGCCAAGCCAACCCGAAAAAGCCTAACGCAAGCCAACCCGCAACATTGTTGATACAAATTTTGGCAAAACCACAAGTATTGGCTCGGAGTTGGGCCAGGCTTAGTGAAAACCGACACAACCCGATGTTGCAGACGATACCGTCTTGGTGGACGAAAATCATGCCCGATAAGTAAGTGATAGTGTTGAATTTTGTTGGTAAGCACTTACCCGGGTAAGCGTTTGGTAAAGAGCCCCTAATCCTGTAACCTGCCATCTGTGTTTTCTGTAGCGAGAGTCGAGCGGCATGTTCCATATCTTCAAATCAGAGACTGTCTGACTGCGAATCGAGCAACGTGAGATTTTTTTGTCATTCAGAAAATTTATGGAACATTCATTTTTAATTTAACACTTTATCCACGCAGAGGGGTAAAATAGTAAATTTTGTCATTCAAACTATATATTCAGCACACGAGAGAAAGAACATCTTTTCTTAATCCATGCAGACAACTTAATTCATACGACAGCTAAATAGTTAATAGAAGGAAAAAAACAAACAGGCCCTAAGTTTGAAATGGTAAAATTAATGATTTTATAGGAGAGATTACCTACTTGGATGGGAGTGGAGTGGCAACGACATATCCCATGTTTTTGTTATGTATCGAGGGTATGTGATCCATGCAATAAACATGATCTTAGACAATGTTGTATTGCAATTGGATTTGATGCAAGTGGTAGTTAGAAGGGAAAGTTGGTATGTGCAATGACTCCTAAGGCACATGGGAGATCTTTGAAAAGTGCCACCTTTGTGATCATCCAAAAATTTTAATGCATTACCGAATACGTATTTATCAGAGCGAAGGACAATAAGGAAACCTTTGTGATCATGCCATTCATGTGCATATTTGCTAGCAAGTTTTCTACCAAACATCTGTTGTACCTTATCACGGTTAGTGGTCATTGACCTAATAGTGGTTGCCATTTTGTGGTACCGCTGTTTGTGGCTTCATTTGCCGCTATTTAACCGTGAAACCTGTTATTTCGATACCAAAATATAGTGTGAACTATGCTATTTTAGTTTTTCGGCTTTTTAGTGATACCAGGGTTACTGGGTTAGAGCATTGAAAGCGAATCATAAATCTACTTATTGGTCATCCACTGCTCCTTACTTCATCGACACTCTTTGCTTCCTTAATCCATTAGCATCCTAGTTTTGACTATACAACTACAATAACTGCCATATATAAATTTTCGCTATACCACATCACTGTTCCACTATAGGATCATATAACTATTTAGCTCAGCATCAACAACCATACGTTGTTGTAACCATGTCTTGTACTGTTTGTTATTCTTTTGATTGTGGTAAATTTAAAGCAATATCTGAGATAGAGTGGTTCCCTAGTTATGTAGGATGACCCTTTATAGACATAATGTTCCAATACCACTAAATATTCCGAGATGTTATGATGAAGTAGGAATTGTCAAATGGGACTTTTTGGAATATGGTGCTATTGTGTAATTGTCTGTCGAGAGATGCTCCAGAATCTAGGAAGAAAAAAACAGAAAACTCATAGAGATTCTTTTTGAGAACATGGACATAGCAGGCTTAGACATTTTCAAGGGCATAACCTCTGATAAGAATGCTTTGAAGACGCATGATTGGGTAGCAGACCATGTGGGGAACCTGTAGCTAACATGGACAGGAGGGAGGGGGGGATCGGTAGAGCGTAGTTTTAGCTTTTTCTACTTCTCATATCTTATTTATGCCCGCCCGTCTTAGCTTTCCTAATCCTTCCCACTCTCGTAGTTGGCAATACTATGATTTGTTGTTTGCCTTATCCTTTGCCCTTTGTGTGTCCAACTGTACTTGTTAGTTGTTACGTGTATGCCAACGCTCCTATGCCACTTTTCTCGCATGTCTCCATGTATTTATTTTTCTTTGTGCAAGTTGGTTATATTCATAGAAACACCCTCTCTACCCCTTGCCGTACATAATATTGGTTTGGTTTAGTTAATTTTCCAAAATGTAATTGGCAACTAACACTGGTATTTGGTTGGGCATAGGTTTTAATGGCAATTAATTGTAGATGATGGGGAAGGCTGAGTAGCAGTAGTAAGCCAAAAGTAGAACATGAGCAGCAGATGGCAGTGCTACTACAGACTGAAATTTGTATTTGATATCAACACAAAAAGAAGAAAAAGTTAGCCTTGTTGCATTCTTCTTCCCCTTGTTTGGTATATTCATTCTCATCTCTTACTGACCATAAATGTTTGTAAGCTTAGTTCTTCCTATTCAAATGTATTATTTGGAAAGTGTAATATACATGTTAGGCACCCTATTTAACACTTGTACCTTTAGTTTCGTATCTCTTAAACCGGTGTCTTGTTCAATACATAATAAATCTAGTGTTGTTTGAGCGGTCTCAGTCTCGGGGTGTGTTTGGTAGACACACAGGACTGGACGTCCAAGAGTGAGGTAAGCGCTTGGGTGGAAGAATCATCGAAGATTTTAGGGTGTTAATTTGACATGAGCAGTTTAGTAATTTATTAATCTGGTCTGTATTTTCTTGATTTTTGTTCACTATGGTGTTTTTCCTCACTTAGGTCCGGTTTGTTAAACTAGCTCATAAGCCACATTGCAATGACCATCATCATTATTGTTAACGATTTTACATGACTCGATACTTATTCTGGAAAACAAACATGGGAGTGAAGTTATTAGGTGTGCATTTGATACACTAAACGGCGTTTTCTATATTTTGATTAATTTATGTCATTTGTTAAATGTTAGTAATAATTAAATAATTATAGAAAATCTATAAAAGAAGGTTGAAATTTAATAAAATGTCATTCAATCTTTCTAATGATATGCAACAAAACAATATATTTTTTAACCAAAATGTTTTGAAGATGTGAAGCATCTCGTGTGTCATATTTTGACCATTTGTGTAATGTAATAAAACTATGAAAACTGTAACTATCACATACTTTAGTTCGACAGTTATCAAAAGTTACCTATCTTCTAAGTTCACAAATACCATTAGAAATGTGAGTCAAATTGATTTCATTTGATAACATGTTTCATAAATTTACATTCATCATTCTGTCTATTCATTATGTGATTTTCCTGTGATAATTATTTGATACCGGTTAACATATTATCTGTATGTGATTTTAGAGATAAAGATGTCACCGAAATTATATGTCACATGATTATCCTTAATTATTTTCTTTTAATCTTAATTATGGGTTAAATAAATTGGAGGCCCATAAATGTTCTTGCATTTTTGTAAAACAAGTGGCCGTCAACAATAATGATGGATTATGAGCATACGTGTTGACAACGAGTAAAAATACAACGAAACTGTCATTAATTTTAATAACTCATATTCACCTTTGACATTTTAAAATAAAAGCTAAAAATATTTAGCAACTCGAAAGAACTCTTTGTTCTTGATGACACACATTCCAATAAATGTATGCTTCCGTCATACTCATATCCCAGTAAATGTATTTCTTCATAATCCGAGACAATACAAGTTTGGAGTCAAATCGTGATTCTTTTTGTTGCTACACACTTACACTTGACTGTAATAGCAAAACAAGTTGGATCATAGATTTCTAGCTTTATACCATATTCGGCTCTTTCACACCTAATTATTGTCTTTTAGTCAAATCAAAATCCATTTTTTTAGAATTTTTGGTAAAAAGATATATTCCACACAAGTACAATAACAAAAGGTACATTGAATTGTAAGCTTAATAAGAAGTTAAAAACTATAAATTAAAGCGCGTGAGTCAAAAGAAATTTAATATTTGATTTTTTTTGTTATATAATGTAAAAAGTGAGTTAAATTATGTTTGGTAAACTAGTTAAATAACATACAATTAGCATTAATTAATAATAAGCTAAAATTTGTGAAATAACAACCTACTTTCATAAATATCCTTATTATATTATTGTACTTTCAGTTTTTCTTATTACAATAATGTATTTTTAATTTTTTTTATTAGGACATTGTATTTTGAAAATTTTATCTATTATAGCATTGGGCAACCTGTCACCGTTTAAACCGGTTTTTGTTATTGATGTGTCATACTTAGAATGACATGGAAGCCACATGAAAGCCAATTCTCATCTGATAAATCTGATTGACTCTAAACCCTCATCTCCCTCATCGTCCCTCATCGTTGTAATACCTCATCCCATATTTGCATAAAACATATATATATTTCGTATAACATGAAATACAAATAATACACATTGGTCCCAAATAAACACATCGTTACTTGTCAAAAGTTACAAGAAACTTTTTCTCATAAATTACATGACTTGAATATAACAATTCACAGTTCATGTATTACACAGCTTCTGCAAATTCACATTCATCACATAAACGGATATAAAGTTATAACACTTCTATTCACGTCTTCCCTTTTCCTTTACCTTCCGCATGTGCCCGACTTGTAATGCACATTTTTGAAAAACAAAAGAGGGTTAGACCATAAGGTCTAGTGAGCAATCCCTTGATAGCTATTACAGGGTGAAAATCACCAAAACATTCTTTGGAAAACCAATCTTTGAAAAATCAACATGTGAAAAACAATTATCACATCAAACCTCAATTTGTCGTACCATACAGATGAGACAAACAAAACTCATAGCATCATAAGAATGAGACAACATCATCTCATCGCATCAAGCAAATAAAATAAACACATCTTATCTCATCAAACACATGCGATACATACCACTTGTGGCACCAAGCAGATGCGATAAACACACTTGTCGCACCACACTGATGCGATAATCCATCTTATCGCATCACACTGATGCGAACATCTCATTTTGTCGCATCATACTGATGCAATATAATCAACTCATCGCATCACACTGATGCGATAACAATAACTCATATGATCAAAATTTCATCTTTCATAGAACCATTGAGTATGACACCCTTATCCCAGTATATCATGCTCCTGATTATGCCACTCTTATTTCAAAATATACATCTCTCCTGATTATGTCACCTTTATTTCAAAATATATACTTCTACTGACTATGTCATCTTTATTTCAAACAATTGATAATATCAAAAACTCAATTATGCTAACAAATAGCAAGTAGTTATGTCTGAAGCAAATTCGAAACCCAAAAATGTTCCTTACTGAAAACATTTCAAATGAGAATTTTGAAATAAAAACTCACCTTGAATCAAAATTAGACAGTAGACTTGTACCAACAACAAAAATCATATATCTAATACGTAACACCTTCTTCTTTTCTTCCTTCTGTTTGCTCGAACTAGAGACCAAAAATCTTTACCAACTTTTCCCTCTTTCTTATCCCAAAGGCAAGGAATAATAGAAATTATCAAAACTCCATGTTTGAATTCGTGTAACTAACTATGGATAAACATAATCAAATAAAGGATAAACATATCATTTTAAAATATAAAAAATCTAAAATATAATTAAGATAATTATCAATTTCTAACAAAATAATTAACTATTATCTTTACAAGAAAATTAT